AAATGGTAGATTTGACAGTATAATTTTGATATTCAGATAGTCTAGGATGATTGATTTGTATGATTCACTTTTTGAAGTACACATAACTCTCGGATTTAAATCCGAAGTTTCCGCATTTATTTTAAATTTAAAAAAAGACTAGGAGACAAAGAAAGTGTGACTAAATAGCTTGATTGAATAAATACTAAAAAAATGATAAGTTTTAGATTTGACTGAAGCACGTTTAATTATTTCATAAAGAGACATCCTAATAACTGTATTTGGCATAATAATTGATGCTCGAGCAATTGAACCAAAGAAAAGTCCTTTAAAACCTCTCTGTCGAATAAGAATAATAAATGTACTAAAAATTGATTATCTTTTTAATGCAACTTGTAAACGTGTTCTTAAAACATCAATTGGTTGCGTTAAATATGATGTTAATAAAGCAGCTAATATTGCTGATAATGGACTTATAATATAATCATTCTTTTTTTAAATAATTCTTTCAAGATTTGATTGAATTTTCCAATAGTGTCCAAGCAATTGAATTAAATGGAAGAGATATAGACAATGTTATTAAATAACCTTTATAAAAACCTCGAATATCACCACCAGATTCTATATAAATTTGACGAATTATATCTTTTAATCGAATACCACTATATGCACGAGTTATCATTAGACGTTGAGTTGGTACATCAATTGGAACTATATTCAATTTTATTAAACTAATCAATATCATTTTAAAGAATATTTATTTTTATTATTAATAATCAATCGTTTTTCATAAAATAACACGACTCTCTCTCTCTATATATATATATATATTATTCTCTCTTAATTATATTTCGATAAGAAAGAGAAATGTCTTCGGAATGTTCAAATAAAGATTGGATTGTTGAATTAAATGTTCGTCCAAATTCAATGTCTCCTATTGATCCACCATCATAGGAAGAGAATGAAAATGATTCGTCTTTTATTATCAATATAAACAATGACATTAGGAGAATATTTTTCATCATATAATATAGATTCTTATATTCTTGAACATATTCAAACGAAAAAAGAATGTTCACAAAAAAAGTGATTTAACTTTAGTTTGGTCTGATGATGTTTCATTAGCATTATGTTTCTTAGCAAGTTTAGCTCATCATGGAGATTATTCTCAAGAGCATTTATTACAAAGATATTTTCAATAGTGGATGAATGGATAAATATAATCAACAATTTTTTCTTTTATCTATTTTATTATATAAGGATTATTTAAGAATCATATGATCAACTAGACCAACTGAAGGATTATCTAGATCAAAAAGAATAAACGACAGACTTCTTGCAAAATCGAATTAAATATGCAATGATGATGTTAACAGCGATCTTGTCTATACTGATAGTTACCCTAATCTAATTCTTTCGACATGTTTAGTTTGTCTTCTTTTTAAAGATGATATAAATAGTCAATAGATAAATATGTACTACAAACTAGAGATGTCCACACGGTGAATTTTTACACCCTGTAGAATCGATATGCTCTCTTACTGCGCTTTTTCATTCAGTTCAACAGCAACAACGGTTGTGTATGATCTCATAAAAAAATTGATTTATTTAAATCTATTTCACAATATCAATGACTAACAGTTCAACTAACAAAATCTATGAATATTACCAAACACAAGACAAATAAATAGCATAATATACGCAATCTAGGCTCACAAGCTTTACTATAGATCTTCATCTGAAAAAAATTTCAATAAAAAGAACAACAAAAAATAAATGACAGCTACTATCAATAAGAAAAAAAAACAGAAAAATGCATAATTTATTTTAAAAAATAAAACTTTTTCTACTAATTGTATAAATAAAATATTTTCTAATTTATTTGGTTGAAGATATCTTTTCCTTTCATTTAAGATGCAACTAGCAGTAGAAATGTCTCTTTCTACGCTAGTTGTCGTTGCAAGAATAGACAAAATTGAACGACTGGTACCGCCTTCTGTAACTTGTTTTTGGTTTTTTACTCACAAGGACAAAATTCGTATTTGCAGGGTATGAAGGTCTCACCCTGTTCTGCCCTGCACTACCTTACCCTGCCTTGCTTCAGGACAGAACAGGGCAGGATTACTCTGCCCTATGGACATCTCTGCTACGAACAAAATAATAGCATTTTCAATCAGGAAAAATAAGAAGTTTTTCTAATAATCTCGAAAGAATCATTAAACAAAGATCGCACTTAGTCAAATATTATCATCTGAATAGATATTGTTCGCAACGAGAGAAGAGCTTTAGTCAATAGATGCTTCTACTTTTCTAAGTTTCGTCTCCAAAAATGTTAATCACTCGTATGAAAACTGTCTATCGCATTGTTGCAGACAATTTTTTATCTATCAAACAATCTCTATTTGATTATCTGTCAAATATTAGTTCTTCGCTAAATTCTCTATCAAATTCAAATAAAACAGATATTAGGATTATCGATTTGACATACAATCATTATTATCGAAGAGATATCTTCTTTTTGTTCTACTATATTCAGAAATACTACTCTCATTAAATGAAGTTTTATAAATAAGAATTTGGCAACTTCAATGTCCAATTTTGTTATATAAACGATATTAGTTTTTCAGTATTTCAAAAAAAACTACTTTTAATCAAGGATTTCGACAACACATATCGTCGAATTTCGGAAAATGATTACACTAAAATAGAGTCAGGTGTCCTAATTCTGCCGGAAAAAAAAACATGTTTTGTATTTTGCTTACAACTCTTGTTCTGTATATGGTAGAGAATTAAATTTTTTTTTCCGGAATAAAGCAAACATTTCTCTATCGATTGGTAAAAAATTAATTAAAAAATAACCAATTAATCACTCAGAAGAAGCGTGACAACAGAGAGGGGGTCAAATTTTGTCAAATTTTGGTGTGTTCATAAGTCTGCCGCTCCGTGTATTTTTTGTTCCTAATTCTGCCATTTACATAGAAAATGCCAGTACATTTTCGAAAAAACATTTTTTTTTAATGAAATCGATTGAATCTGACAACAAAAAATATACCATTCGATTCGCCTTGAGACAGGCTATCGAGTGGTATATTGTTCAAAAAGATTCAAACTTGTCTTATATCTTTTTTTTCCTGTCAAAAGGAAAGAAAGTCACCAACAGATCTATTTTCTGTTCCTAATTCTGCCGCTCCATATAGTTTATGTTCCTAATTATGCCGAAATCATTCATTCTTCAAGATAGTTCAATTTTAGAACAAAATAACTAGCATATTCGTAATCAGCGACTAAAACTACAGCAGTCTGGATATTTT